GGCCTACCAACACTAACGGGGGCTGTCAACACAAACGGGCCTACCAACACTAACGGGCCTACCAACACTAACGGGGGACTAACAACACTAACGGGGCCTAGGGGGGGCCTACCAACACTAACGGGGCCTACCAACACTAACGGGGCCTGGCCAACGACCTACCAACACTAACGGGGCCTAACAACACTAACACTACTACACTAACGGGGCTAGGGGGCTACCAACACTAACACCAACACTAACGGGGCTATAACGGGGGCTATCTTAACGGGCTACCAACACTAACAACACTATCAACACTAACGGGGCTATCAACACTAACGGGGGCTATCAACACTAACGGGGCCTATCAACACAAACGGGGCCTACCAACACTAACGGGGCCTACCAACACTTAACGGGGGCTATCAACACTAACGGGGGCTATCAACACTAACGCATAATCAGGGCTGCCAACCTTAACTAAGACCCCAGAGTTGTCGAGACATTTCAGTTATCTACGTTTAAAGAAAACAATGACTGTCAATAACAAATAAGCCTCAGGGTTGCCAACATTACAACACCAGGATTACCAACATTACAACTAACACCAGGGCTGCCAACATTACAACTAATACCAGGGCTGCCAACATTACAACTAACACCAGGGCTGCCAACATTACAACTAACACCAGGGCTGCCAACATTACAACTAACACCAGGGCTGCCAACATTACAACAACTAACACCAGGGCTGCCAACATTACAACTAACACCAGGGCTGCCAACATTACAACTAACACCAGGGCTGCCAACATTACAACTAACACCAGGGCTGCCAACATTACAACTCCAGGGCTGCCAACATTACAACTAACACCAGGGCTGCCAACATTACAACTAACACCAGGGCTGCCAACATTAAATCAACAAGAGTTCGTCAGTATTAAATCGGATTCTCAGTCACCCCAAAGTACCGAATATCCGATGTTCCGATTATTTCTCGTTCCGATTTTTCTAAGGCCGTAATATCGGGTGTCTCGCTCATCCGAAGGTCCGATTATACGGTGTCTCGATAAACTACAGGCACTATTATCCGAAGTGGCGTGATTAAGCGCAGATCCAATAACTAGTGGGAGTACTGTATGTGGAGAGAGAGAGAGAGAGAGAGAGAGAGGTGTGTGTGTAAATAAAAGAAGTCGTAACAGAACTCCACCTTGGTCAGGACATCAACAAACAAACACATACAAACAAACACATACAAACAAACACCAAAACAACAGAATGAAAAACACAAGAAAGTAAAGATAATTATCCCAGAGGTAGGAGGGGATGAGGGGGATAGGGGAGGAAGGAAGGGGGGTTGGGAGGGGGATATTAAAGGAGAGAAAGCGGGGATGGGGGTATTGAGGAGTGCTGAGAGGGAGGGGGAAGCGGGGAAAGGGGGCCGGGGTCATAAACCTGGGACGCCACCCCTGACTCCCCTCCCCCTGTCCTCTGCTATATACAGTTTGGTTCATAGGAAGATTAGACACCACAGTTTATTTCACCCGATGATTAAACCACCTTGACGCTACCTGGGGGGTTGGGTTACGATACGTTAGAGGTCAGCTTATGTTGGGCCAGGTCAGGTAGGGTTAGGACACATTAGATTAGATCAGGTTATATTATGGTAGGTCAGGTCAGGTCAGGTTAGGACACATTATATTAGATCAGGTTATATTATGGTAGGTCAGGTCAGGTTAGCGTTAAGGCGTTTAATCATCAGACAAAAGAAGCAGTGGAACGGTAATGGGGTGCCTAAGTTTCATGTGAGGAGGAGGAAGAGGAGGAGGAGGAGGAGGAAGAGAAGGAGGAGGAGGAGGAGGAGGAAGAGAAGGAGGAGGAGGAAGAGAAGAAGGAGGAGGAGGAGGAGGAGGGGTATTTAAGGATTAGGGAGCCCAGCCTGACGCACACAATCCTCTTAGTACGAGGTGAAATTACGCCCTGATATACGGTAGCGAGTCTGTGCTCTCGCCCCCACGGTCATCGGTCTTAAAAATGGTGACTACGGTTCATTTAACCCCCGTCTCTCTCTCTCCCTCCTTCCTTCCCCCCTCTCTCTCCGTCCTCCCCCCTCTCTATCCTTCCTTTTTCTCTCTCTCTCCCTTTCCTCCCCCCCTCTCTTTCCCTTTCCTTCCCCTCCCTCTCTCCTTTTCCTTCCCCTCCCTCTCCCTTCCTTCCTCTCTCTCCTTCCCCTCCCCTCTCTCTCCTTTCGTGCATCCCCATTCCCTACCTCCTCCTCTCCTTCCTTTCCCCAACCCATTCTCCCATTCTTCCCTCTCTCCCTCCCTCCCTTTCACCCATCCTTCCTTCCTCCCTTTCACTGCATTTGTGGGAACGCATCTTACTGCCCCCTCTCAATGGTGCCCCAAAAAATTAACATCTGAGACTACCTTAACTACATACGTTCATTTTATCTCCTAAACGGTGTTAAGTGAACGTTTCTATTTAAGGTAGAATGTATGTGTGTTAATTACCATCTATTACCTGGACAATAGTTACGTGTTATAACCTAAAATCAACCAATTAGGTGACTCTTAACAGCAGCAGTTACGAGGTGTGTGAAGCAGCGCCACTTGAGCTCCTGGCGGCAAGGGAAGGCACTACATACTGTACTACATCACCTTGTTCACTTTACAGCACCATTAAGACTACACCGTAAGCCACTAAACCTAGTCCCTGCACCATTAAGACTACACCGTACACCACCACCCCCTAGTCACTGCACCATTAAGGCTACACCGTAAGCCACTAAACCTAGTCCCTGCACCATTAAGACTACACCGTACACCACCACCCCCTAGTCACTGCACCATTAAGGCTACACCGTACGCCACTAATCTAGTCTGCTGCTCGTCATTAAAATTTAACACTTCACTTGGGTGCTGACAATCTGGCCAACGTCTCCATATTTAATCACAGACATACATACTGTATACCGATATATACAGTATATACTGATATGAATACTCGCATATACATACATTTATACAGTATATTATATATTTACAAACATATTTTGTACACACACACACAAATACTTACACATACTGTACAGAGAAAGAGAGAGAGAGAGAGAGAGAGAGAGAGAGAGAGAGAGAGACTCGATCGAATACTATATTTTTAAACCATTATTATTTACAATCGAGAAAGTAACCGTCATCCACTTTCACAAAATATAATTCTATAAATAATGGTGTAAAAGTAATATATATATATTTTTTAAACTTTCCTTAATAAGAGTGAGAGCCATGGCCGTCAAACGTTACGTGAGCCTTGGTAATATGTACGGGGTTATAAGGGGATTCCATTCTCTTATTAACAAAAGAGCATCAACCTCTTTCTTCTCTGCCTGGGATTATGAACGGACGAAAACAAAATTCTTCTCTAGACCAACAAAAGAGTTTCAGCTTCATAGTTTCCTCTGCTGGGCTCTGTTTTATCAATTTATTATCTTACGCAGGTATATTAGTGTTAGATTGTAATTGATGAATGCGTGTATTCTTTCTCTTATCAAACAAATGAACATCATCGCCTTATGTTTGTTGTTCTTCAGTTGCTAATGCGGATTTGAATAAGTTTCTATCCCTTATTCAAAAACAAATGGCTATCGTTTTCATAAGCTTCCTGTTTCCAGCGGCTAATGCGGATATGAAAGGAATTTCTTTCTCGGATTAAAAAAAACAAAAGAACATCACTACCATAAGTTACCAGTGTCGCTTTGTTGATGAAGATATAAAAGCATTCGTTCCCCCGTATTTCAACAAACACAACAGCAGCAGCAGCGCCCTCGTTAAGTTTTCAGAGCGGAGAATACGGCGTCAAGGGAGTCCTGGAATATTCATAACTTTAATTTTTACGCGGCACGCTCACTCTATTTCCGCTAATTAATTGGATTAGTTACTTATTGAGACTGCTACTCTCTCTCTCTCTCGTTTTTTCTCACAACCTCACTTATTCCTATGTTTATTTTCATTTCTCCTTCCCCTTTCTCATTCTTTTCCTTATTGTTTTTATTAATCATTAATATCCACAGTACGCCATTAAAAACGTTCCTTAATGCGGCTTCCCGAAAATACGAACTAATTTAACCAATTAAAAAAAATCAATCATTTCACAAGTAATTAAACCACTCATTAAAATAATAATAATAATAATAATAATAATAATAATAATAATAATAATAATAATAATAACAATAATAATAAAATCACATGACTTAAAATTGAAATGGGAATTTTGTCTCAACTCAAATCCCAGAAGTCGGGGTATTCTAGGCCGCCTCAGAGATGGATTTAGTCTAGTGGATCATATTCGGCACCATCTTATCGGCCTGGTTGGTTAAATGGGACGTGTATGGTACCCAATTAAGGTGTGTGCTTATGCTTCTACCGTAAATTGATCTCCAGTGCTGTCTAAAGGCGAGCGATCGTTTGGTTGGTGAAGCTGTGTGTGTGTGTGTGTGTGTGTGTGTGTGTGTGTGTGTGATCTTTTGACAGGAGGTGAAGTTACGTGTTTATATAATGATCCCAAGGGAAGTTATATGCAGTAGGTTGTCGAGGGGGCAAGACAGGTGGGTTAACACAGGTCAGACAAACATAACAGAAGAGGTACTTACGCTACACCCAGATGGTCTTGTCTACGAGGTAAGGAAGTAGAAGAAGTACTTACCCTTCTCTAAATAAGCTTGTCTACGAGGTAAATAAGGAAGTAGAAGAGGCACTTACCCTTCTCTAAATAAGCTTGTCTACGAGGTAAATAAGGAAGTAGAAGAGGTACTTACCCTCTTCACCATGAACTTGCCTAAGAGTTAAGTAAGGAAGTAGAAGAAGTACTTACCCTTGTCTACGAGGTAAATAAGGAAGTAGAAGAGGTACTTACCCTCTTCACCATGAACTTGCCTAAGAGTTAAGTAAGGAAGTAGAAGAGGTACTTACCCTTGTCTACGAGGTAAATAAGGAAGTAGAAGAGGTACTTACCCTTCTCCCAAATGATCTTATCGATAGGATAGCCAGCCACGGGACACTTAATCCGTAAGCCGGACCCCGCCACGGCCGAGACCCGCCTCATGGGCCGGATGTAGGGGAGGCCGTAGACGTTCACCTTGGCGGAGTGAGTGACGGCGCCCACGGTGTTGGAGGCGCTGCAGGTGTACTCCCCACCGTCCTCCACCCTCACGTTGGTGATGTTCACGTGGGAGATGACGTCATCATGTACTGTTACGTATTGACCCACCAGGAACCTGTAGAAGGGGAAGAAGAAGGGGGTGATGAGATGGTGGGGAGACGAAGGGGAGTGATGAGATGGTGGGGACGAGGGGGTGATGAGATGGTGGGGAGACGAGGGGTGATGAGATGGTGGGGAGAAGAAGGGGGTGATGAGATGGTGGGGAGACGAAGGGGAGTGATGAGATGGTGGGGACGGGGGTAATGAGAGTGGGGTGTGGGGAGAAGAGGTGAGGGGGAGAGATATCTTGACCAACTAGAGGCCGTTTGGAGTGAAGAGAGAGGTAAGTTATGGGGAGATTAGTTGGATACAGGGAGGAAGAGAAGAGAAAAGAGAGAGAGAGAGAGAGAGAGAGAGAGAAAAAAAATCACTACCTAACCAAACACGAAAAAAATGATAAAAAAATATATATATATAAAATCACAAATCAGTGACAGCCAGCTACTCTCACCTCTCCCTCACTCTCCCAGGCAGACAAGACACGGCAGGACACGGGCAGGGAGAGTCCCGAGAGAGAGTGATGAGAGACAGGGGCGGGTACACTCTCCCAGGGCAGGTGTTGTTGTAGGGGGAGGGAGAGTGGGAGAGGAAATGTTGTCATGTACAGAAAAACAAACATCAATTTATTTTGTTTTCCTTTTTTTTTAATTCTGAAGGTGACTATTGGTGATTCTCTCTCTCTCTCTTTTATTTCCTCGTTCTCTTACCTTCTCTCCCACATACTCTCCTCTCTCTCACAAACACTCACGTACAAAACAAGTGACTCCAAACTACAGGTCACCCGGTTGTTGCATAATCCAATGTTATGACACCAGCGGCTATAAATGTGCGCCATCACCTGAAGATTAGGCACCCCAGCTTATTTCACCTGATGGCCAAAGCAATAAACAACCTAACACTACCTGGTGGGTGTTAGGTTAGGTCAGGTCAGGTCACATGGGATTAGGTTAGGTTAGGTTTTTAGGGCAGGGATCCCATTTGACCTCTTACCTTACCTTCCTTTCTCCCCCAAACTACTCTCCCTCCTCCATCCCATACAGTACCTCTCTTCCTCTCCCCTAAACCCTCCCACCCCACCCACCACCTTCTCCGTCAACCCTCCCCACCCACCCACCCTCTCCCTTCAACCCCTCCCACCCACCCACCCTCTCCCCTCAACCCACCCTTCACCCCTCTCTCTCACCTCTCACTCTCAGGTAGGGGGAAGCCGTCCAGGGTCCAGATGAACTGTGGGGGAGGGTTACCGGTGGCCACACACTTGAGGCTGACGGAGGGTCCTGGCTGTAGCGTCTGTTCCTGAAACTTGTAGTGAAGCTCTGGCGACGAGTCTGTCAGGGAGGAGAGGGCCATGATTAGTGAGGAGCCGTGATTTGTGAGGGCCATGATTAGTGAGGGGCCGTGATTAGTGAGGGCCATGATTAGTGAGAGCCATGATTAGTGAAGGGCCATGGTGAGTGAGAGGGTATGATTAATGAAATGAGCCATGATCAGTGAGAGGGGGGGCCATGATCAGAGATGGGACTACGTTTAGTGAGATGATAATGGTGGGGGAGGTGGGCATAAAAACACAAACCTCCTCCCGTCATTGGCTACCTCACCATCCCATTAGCAAACATTCCTACAATCTGATTGGTCGATGGTTACTAGGTGAATCACGCCGCTACACCGCTAAATTCACCAACCAATTTTCTCCATTTTTTTACGACGCTTAATAATAATAATCAACGTCACAATTGGATAAAAAAATATTAATTGATAGTTTATTAATTAGAAAGTTAGTGAAAGTCCATAGTTTTTATATCTTTAATTTAGATATTTATTTATTTTTTATCTAATTTTCGTAATATACTCATAGTCGACGTGTATAGAAGGGAGAGGGGGGGGAGTGGGAGAGAAAGGGAGTAGGAGAAGGAGAAATGGAGTGGGATAGGGAGGAAAGAAGTTGGGGGAAGAAGAGGAAGAGTAGAGAATAAAAACAAAAGAATGATGATTAATGGTGGGGGGATGGAGGTAGAGAGAAGGTAGGAAGAATGTTTAGTGAGGGGCCAGCGGGAGTGAGAGGTGAGCCAGCAGGGTGAGAGGTGAGGGGAGAAAGATCTGGTGAGGGTGCGGGGGTGACATGCCGGGAGACACTTGATAGGAGGAGGAGAAGAGGTGGCAGACAGACGAAAGAGGAGGAGGAGGAGGAGGAGGAGGAAGAAGAGGAAAGGGGGTGGGAGGAGGGGTGGCCGCAGGCACCTCGTCTTTCATAGCAAGTACCCCCCGCCCCCCCACCCACCCTGACAAACAAAAGGTCCGCCACCTTGAATATAACTAAGCTGCTTTAATGGTTTATAGGCCTCACAGGAAGCTCCAGGATGAAGTGATGATGATGATGATGGCGATGATGACGATAAAAATAATGATGACGATGATGAAAATGATAAATAAATAAAATAGTACACACAATTAGGTGTTTTTGAAGTACACATAGTGGAAGTAACGACACATGTGCACACACAAATAGCACACACACACATATACATACATACAACTACACAGACAGACAGACACCCACACCATCTACCATGACCAATGGATTCTCTTGTCTCTTAATCTCTCTTATCTCTTCATTATTGATATTATTGATAGTAATGATGATATTGATGATGATAATGTGTGTGTGTGTGTGCGTACAAATTATGACTAGTGTTATTTTGGTGCACGGCTGATACGTCACAGTCCAAGGTAGTATCTCTCTCTCAGGTGGAATTAGGTGGTGTGGAGTATGTGTGGGTGGGTGGGTGGGTGGTGGGTGTGATAGTGGTAACGACCAGTGGGCCTTCATATTCTCTCTCTCTCTCTAAGTACTCATCGTCTTGGGCCACCTCGTCAACTATGCATAAATTCATTCATAGGCGCCACAACACGTCTACCACCACTACTACCACAACACGTCTACCACCACTACTACCACAACACGTCTACCACCACTACCACAACACGTCTACCACCACTACTACCACAACACGTCTACCACCACTACTACCACAACCACGTCTATCACCACTACCACAGCACGTCTACCACACTACTACCCACAACAAAGTCTACCACTACCACAGCATTCTGCCACCACCACTACCACAACGTCTACCACCACTACTACCACAACACGTCTACCACCACTACTACCACAACACGTCTACCACCACTACTACCACAACACGTCTACCACCACTACTACCACAACACGTCTACTACCACAATACGTCTACCACCACTACCACAACACGTCTACCACCACTCGTTAGGCTAATTGTCAACCCCATAATATTTGTAGGTCACGTTACTACGCCTCCTCCTTCCTTCCTTCCATTACTCCTCCTCCTTCCTTGTCCTCCATTTTCTTCCTTGCATGACTCCTACTTCTCTTCTCTTCCTTCCACTCCTCCCTCTCACCTTCCCTTCCCCTCTCCCTCCCCTCGTCTGCATAATTACTAAAACTATCTCTTCCCCTTCTTGTTCTTCCTTTCTTCTTCTTCCTCCTTCTCTTCTTCCTCTCCTTTCCTCCCCTCTCTCTCATTTTTCTCTACCTTCTCCTTCCATCCCTCTTCTCTACAACATTAAAACAATTCTTTTTCGTTTCTCTCCTCCGTTTTTCTTTTATTTTGTCTCTGTCTCTCTCTCCCTCACACCGTCTCTCCCCTCTCACCATAAATACTGCTTCTATGTCTTTTCCTACGTCCTCCTCTCCCTCTCTCTCTCTCTCTCCTCCCTTCTCTACATAACTCTCCTTTCCCTCTCTCTCTCTCTTCTTCTTCCTCCTCCCTTTCTCCATTCTCCCTCCCCTATTGCTCTCTCTCCATCTCCTTTTCCATCCTCCTCATCTTCCTTTCGTCTGTTCCTCACTCCCGCTTTCATAATCTTCCCCCCCCTCCTCTCTCTCTCTCCACACACACATACAAACACAAACAAACAAACACACACACACACACAGTTTTCATTAGTCCCTGTTTACATTTTCTCGGCTGGTGATTATAGTGTTATGCCTCTCACTATCCCACTCCCCATTCACTCTCCCATCTTCTCCCCCACTCACTCTCCCACCTCCCCACTTATTCTCCTACCTCCCCATTCACTCTTCATCCTCCCCACTCACTCTTCCACCTTCTCCCCACTCACTCTCCTATCTTCTCCCCACTCACTCTCCCATCTCCCCATTCACTCCCTAATGCTTTCCTCTCTCTCTCTCTCTCTCTCTCTCTCCACTTACCTCCGAGGGCGAGATGAGCGGCGGCCTGGACGTTGTAGTGCCTGGCGGACACCACACACTGGTACATGGCCCGGTCCTCCTTCCCCACCTTCGACACCGTCAGCAGCTCCCGCGGTGACGTCACGAACCTGCAGCACAATTATTGAAGTAATAAGTGAAGGGCGGGGCTAGCTGTGACGTCATAAATGAAGGGCGGGGCTTGTTGTGACGTCATAAGTGAAGGGCGGGAAGCATTTTGACGTCATAAGTGAAAGAGCAGGGAGCTTGTTTGACGTCATAAGTGAAGGGCGGGGCTTGTTTTGACGTCATAAGTGAAGGGCGGGCTTGTTGGCTGACGTCATAAGTGAAGGGCAGGGCCAGTTGTGACGTCATAAGTGAAGGAGCGGGAGCATTTGTGACGTCATAAGTGAAGGGCGGGGGCTTGTGACGTCATAGAGTGAAGGAGCGGGGCTTGTGACGTCGCCAAAGTGAAGGGCAGGGCTTGTGAAGTCAGAAGAGATGACACAATTATTATTGAGTGAGATTATTTTGGCGATCACTGTGAAAGCGAGGAGTTTAGTGCTGTCAGGAGATCCCACACCGCTGACGTCATAATGAGGGAGAAACACACATCCTTCTACCCTCCCTGTCCCACCAAGACCACCCCCCTCTTTCCATACCTATCCTCTTCCTCTCCTTTACTCCACCTCTCTTTCTACAACCTACCCCATCTTTCTTATTCCTCACCCCCCTACCTTCCTTCTCCCCTATTCATCTTTCTACCCTACGCCCTTCCTCTCAAAACACCTCCCCTACCTCCCCTCTCCCTATTCCTCCCTCTCCACCAACCTTCACCTCCCCCCCCCCCACCTCCCCTACCCCCCCCCAAACTTACCTGCCGTCCGGGGGTAGAGATTTGCCGTTCCTGAGCCAGGTGACCGAGGTGACGGGGTGTCCCTGTACCACACACCTGAACTCTGCCGTCTTACCCATGTCCACCACCAGCCGTCGGGGGGACACGTGGACATTCAGGGGCTCTGTTGGGACACGCACGAGTAACAGTTAGGACACGGGTATGTAATGAGTAGGGCGGGATGGATAATGTAAAGATATAATGGTCACATACATACACACACACACATGCATACATTATACATACATACAAATACACAAACATACACAAATACACACACAAACAGGATTAAGGACATATAACCCCCCCCCACACACACAAATACACACATAACTAACACGCACACAGGAACGAGAACACACACACACACATTTATAATGAGAGAGAGAGAGAGAGAGAGAGAGAGAGAGAGAGAGAGAGAGATCACCACTCTTAACTACTAAACGACTTAACCCAACGTCTTCAAACTTCGTGATTACCAGAGCTATTCCTAGACCCCCCCACACACACACTTTTTATCTTTAGACGTAGTAAAACAAAGGTCAAAGGTCAAGGTCACGGGATAAAAGGTCATACGGCCGGCTTTAAGTTCCTCGTAAATTTTCGGGACGGTTTTCAAACACTAAATTGACCTGTTGTTATGGTGGACTGTGTGTGTGTGTGTGTGTGTGTGTGTGTGTGTGTGTGTGTGTGTGTACGTGTGATTTTGTTAGATGTTGCTATAATAGAGGTTGAGAGTTGTTTATATTTTTTTAAGTAGATCGTCTTTTGTTTTCAACTTCCCGAAGCATTACACCTAAAATTAACTCGGATAAGTGGACGTCGTCATCAACTTTTACACACACACACACACACACACACACACACACACACACACACACAGTATTTTCCATGACCACCATTTAAGCTCCTCTTGTTATTTTGAGTCCGTTTTGTCTTTTATTTTGAGCCCGTGTTATTTTTGAGTCGATTCGTGGATGGGTGGAGGGGGCAGGAGGAAGGAGGGGGAAAGGGGGGAAGAGGAAGGAGGGGGAAAGGGGAAAGAGGGGGGAGGAGGAAGGAGGGAGGTGGAAGGGGAGGAAGAGGTCCGAACAGATGTTATTTTGGCATTCATGTTATTTCGAGAGGCAAAAAATGGCATTACGGTGTTGTTATGGAGGTGGAGCGAGCGGGTGTTATTCCTGGACCCTCTAGACCAGGTGTGTATTAATTTATTGTACCTGTGTTATTTTCGGCAAGGTGTTTGGTGATTATTTGAGGTAATATGTATTTTTTTAGGTAATATTCGTTATTTTTGGAGAGTTTTGTTTAGGTAATTAGTTTTCAAAGGTATTATTATTTTTTTTAGGTAATTAGTTATTTTCAAAGGTATTATTAATTATTTTTTAAGGTATTATGTTCTTTTTTTCTTAATATCAGTTATTTTTAGGTGTTATTAGTAATATTTGAGGATAATATTTCTATCAGGTATTGTAAGAGCTGTCTTGAAAAGCAGGGGATTTAATACTTGATTACGAGTGTATTGTACTCAAGGGCGAGTGTATTGTACTCAAGGGATTTAGTATGACGATTTAACTATGATAAGACTAGACGGGGTGAAACTCGACGGGGTGAAACGTGATTGATGTGTAAAAGAACAACAGGACATGTAATAAGGGGGACACAGGGTGGACATGGGCAAATACACAACACGACACAGAAACACACCCTTAACCTCACATTTAATCTATCACAAACACCCACTCGCCTCACCAAGGGGCTGGGGGTAGGGTGTTGTGGTGTCTGTGACGGTGGTGTACCAAGTGTCTTTACCGCCACACTTAACACTTTACGACACTACTAAAATGATTGACCTGGGGTGGTGGGTGGTGGTGGTGGTGGGGAAGGTGGGGAGGAGGGAGGAGGGGGAGGGGAGAGGGGAGAGGGGAGAGGGAAGAGGAAGGAGGAGGTGGGACATGCGAGGTAATTTCCCGCTTTGTTGATACTAAAATGTATGTACTTGTGGGAATATAAGTATGCGTGTATACTGCACACACACACACACACGCACAGTAACACACACACACTGTACACACACACTGCACACACACACACACACTCACCAGTGACTTTGAGTGAAGCCTCAACAGTCTCATGACCAACACTGTTGTTGACGAAGCACATGTAGCGGCCCTGGTCAGCCACGCCCACAGCCGTCATCACCAGGAGGCCGCCCACCTGACTGTACCGTGAAGACCCGCCCACCACGCCCGCCATCACGCCCTCACCCAGCCGCACCCACCTAGAAAAAAATCACAAAACCTTATAAGTGGGATACATAAGTGGGGGTCTAAGTATTGTAAGTGAATATACAGTATATGATTTACTTATAACCTGTGAAAATTTGTAAGTGAACATTTTAGTGATTCTTAAGTGGTAACAGAATATGGGAATCATTGAAGAATTGTAAATGGGCGTGGTACTGACCTGTAGGTGGGCGTGGGGTGGCTCTGGGCGGCACAAGGAAGCACCGCCCACTCCCCCGCCTTCACCGTCACCGTCACCCTCTTGTCCACACTGAGTCTGGGCGCCACGTTACCATGAGGCTCTGAAGGAGAACACCAGCTGTCAGTATACCAGCTGTCAGAACACCAGCTGTCAGTATAACAGCTGTCAGAACACCAGCTGTCAGTATAGCAGCTGTCAGAACACCAGCTGTCAGTATAACAGCTGTCAGAATACCAGCTGTCAGTATAACAGCTGTCAATACACCACCTTTCAGAACACACGAGAACGTAAACAAGAGAAAGTAAGGAAGGGAAAGTAAAAAAGTTAACGTAAACAATAGAACGAAAACAAGAGAACGTAAACAAGAGAAAGTAAACAAGAGAAAGTGAGAGAAAGTACAATGCAAAACCAATGGACTCCGAATAAATGAACACCGAGAAATAGGAAAAGTAATAAAAGAATAACAAGAGAGATAAAACACGATAAGATGAAAAGGAGAATAAGTAAAACCCTCCAATAAAACAAATAGAAAGAGGAAGAAGACGAAGCGATAAAGGAATAATTGAGACGAAACACGAATAAAAGACTAAACTGTTTCAGAACATAATAAAAATAATAATAGAGATAATAGTAATAAAATAATAATAACAATAATAAAAGTAATAATAATAATAACAATAAAAAGTAATAATAGTAATAATAACAATAACAGCACTAATAAAAGTAATACTAATAATAATAACAATAACAACATCTACAAACAAAATAACAAAAACAAAAATTAACCACAAACACCAGGACTGTATTTCTCCCTTCATTACACTACAAAATAATAATACAACTCATTATACAACTACAGTACATACATCACACACACAACATCAAATTACAAACTACACAAAAGTAATACCAAAGTTTAATGTAAATTCCTATCAATAAAAATAACTTCCTCGCTGATAATAAAACTCCCAGACTCCATTTTGGTTCCAATTTATATTATCAGAACTATGATTAAAAAAATATATATATATAAATTTACCAAACCAATTATCAATTTGGTTTTTACGGGGGGACGGTTTTTAAATTGGATTACTATGATACAAAAGGAATCTTATTAATTTCTCTCTCTCTCTCTCTCTCTCTCTCTCTCTCTAGGGATTTTACTTTTTTTTAACTAGATCGACATTAATATTCCCTTTGCCTGTGTGTGTGTGTGTGTGATGTGGAAGTGTGTGTGTGTGTGGTGTGGTAGTGTGTGTGTTGTGTGTGTGTGGGTAGTATATGTGTGTAGGGTGTGTGTGTGTGTGTGTGTGTGTGTGTGTGTGTGTGTGTGTGTGTGTGTGTGTGTGTGTGTGTGTGTGTAAGTGTGTGTGTGTGTGTGTGTGGTGTGTGGTGTGGTGTGAGTGTGTGTGTGTGGTGTGGTAGTATATGTGTGTGGGGGCGGGTGGTATGTGTGGGTGTGTGTGTGTGTGTGTGTGGTGACAGGCAGTACACACGGGTAATAATGAACCACTGAGATTTTAATGAGGCCTGACAGGAGGGGAAGAGAATGGGAGGGAAGAGTGAAAGATGGGAATGTGTTCTGCCGGAAGGTGTGTGTGTGTGTGTGTGTGTGTGTGTGTGTGTGTGTGAGACTGAGTAAGGATAAGAGAAAATAAAGAGAGGAAAAGGGGATAGACAAAATTAACACACAACAAAAGGTGAGGTTCATTAGTACATCCAGGTGATAATATTAACCCCCCCTCACAGCCCGGCAAAATTAACATTAACCACTCTTTCTGAATCCACTTGTAACCATCCCCCATGATAGCTGATTACTATTAACATTATCTAAGTTAACATTTATTATTATTCAGGTAAAGTAAGCGTTAACATTATGTGTATTGACTACCATCATTATCATTGTTATTATTATTGCCATTATTATCCGGGTTGAGTAAGTGGTAATATTATCTAAGTTAACTCCTATTCAAATTAACATTCTCTAAAGGTTAACGTAATCATCACGTCACCACAATACACAAGGAGTTCCGTGTTTGTCACTCATCTTAAGGTCAGGAAAATAACACACGTCACTCAGTCACTCACACTAAGGTTACGAAAAATAACACGTCACTCACACACTCGTCTTCCGGGTTGCCCTCTTCCTCCTTCGGGGTTTAAGTGTGCGTGCGTGTGTGTGTGTGTGTATCTGTGTGTGTGTGTGTGTGTGTGTGTGTGTATCTGTGTGTGTGTGTGTTATAACAACTTAGAATAATGCCAAACCTAACACAAATCTATCCTATCATAACTTAACCTAACACTACCCTATGTTAACCTAACCAAACACAAACTATCTTAACCTACTTTAACTTAACATATCCTAACACTAACCTAACCATACAGCTAATGATGAACCCTACTGGACACTTACCGGTAATAATAACCCTGCCGGCGGAGGACTCGCTGATATCCCCAGTAAGGGTGTGGTTGGCCCGGCACCGGTAGCTCCTGTAGCCGTCACTTGGGTCGGCCCGGTAGATGTGCAGGGACCCATCGTGAAGGATCATGTACTTCCCGCCTGTTGATATAAATATTACGTCAGGTCACACAGCTCAGGTCAAACAGCTCAGGTCACACGCTCAGGTCACACAGCTCAGGTCACACAGCTCAGGTAAGTGTTCGTAATCTTGTTCGATAATCTTCCGTCAAATATGAATGTCAGTCAACTCCATTAATTCCATCACCAAATCAATTTACAAACGTTAAATCAACATCAAAAGGAATAAAAGCTAAAATGAATTCATACAAATCATACACGACATAAGATGGAATACATTACTTATACACATTAATACATTATATACGGAAATCATATTGTATAATGTATAATATGGATTATCATTTAATACAACAATGCATATAATTATTATATACCACAATATACACGACATATTATTCTTCTTACATAAACACAATGACGAACATCACAGAACGACGCTAAAAATACACCAGACAAGAATCCTCAACTCGAACCCTTGTCCTCGAAATCAACACAACAGGGAGAAAGTGTTGTCCCGCCCAGCCAATCCACCCCCTCCCCCCTCCCTCCACACACACAGTATAACTCGGGCGACGACAAAATTGATGATGTTGACTCAACGCTCTGCCCCCCCCACCACCACCAAGACGCTCACAAGCATTTCGGGCGGAACCTCTCTCTCACCCACACCGTAATCCTAAGCCAGAGCCAAGACGAAGCATACGGACTCATTGTTTACATCAACAGCTGACTGGATACTGATTTCCCCAACATTAATACTGGATGGTGTATATATTGAACGGGGAAGACTCAAGTTAATATTCTCACCGGGATAAACAAACAAAACACACACGATCTAATTTCCTCCCAACGTAAACTTTTCCCGGTGTGTTCCTGGGGATAATAACTCCTACAGATAATATTGGAACAAACACACTCCCGGTAGCCACAGTCTTTAACAAACCCCCAGACGAGCTCTTAACCACTTGTGTACAGGCTCCCCTCCGAGCTGAATAAAATCGTATGGTTTTAGTCACATAAAATATTAACTGTGGAGTCCCTGTAGTGAAGGTGTTAGGGGAGATAGTCTAGTAATGGCGTCAAGGCGACCTGTGGTGTGTAATTTTAGTCATGGCACTAAAAGGGTTAAGTCACTCAAAGTTAAGCATGGCACTGAAAGGGATTAAGTCACTCAAGGTTAAGCCATGGCACTGAAGGGATTAAGTCACTCAAGGTTAAGCCATGGCACTGAAGGGATTAACATACAATCTAATCCAAATAAATCCCTCTAATACAGACAAAATCCATCACTGTAACTGGATAACAAAACCTGTAGCTCAACACACACACAGTGAAGTGACCCCCAACAACAGCTGCCGGTGTGTGTGTGTGTGTGTGTGTGTGTGTGTGTGTGTGTGTGTGTGTGTGTGACCTCAGGGACAATTAAGGTTAGGTGTTTTGTCATTAAATACCTTGAAAATATATTATCTAAAAAAATTAATAATGAAAAATAAAATAAAATTTGAAATTAAAATTTAGTCTTGGTAGTGTATATATAAGTATAATCTTCCTAATTCGGGTTAATAATACTGAAATACAAGTGTAAATTGACAAGAGCATAATATATATGTAATCACAGCACTGAGCCAAGTGGATACAGGCATTATGTATTTACTCTTACGTAACGATATGTAAACGCCGCTGAACCACCCACACACACACACACACACACACACACACACACCATAAAATTTGCAGGTGACGTGAATAATGCAAATTGTCTGACACTTAATTCTCTGCAAGGTTGAAACACCAAATGTTTCAATATTTACACATCTCCCGCCTTCCTATCAGTGGCTCAAGTTGTTAGGGTGTTCGCCTCGCAAGCAAATGGTCATGGGTACGATCCCCGACCTGAAGGAAGGACTGGATTCCTTCTTTGTACACATCCTGTTTGAGAAAGATCCTACGACTTATCAACACTACAATATCACAATACCTGTCCAAAAACTGCACACACACACACACACACACACACACACACACACACAGACACACACACACACACACACACTACAGCGGCCAATTTACCTATAAATGTACCACAGCAAAAATCTAATCCTTCACCTGGTACAATGAGTGACCTGGTGGGTTAGTTTAGCCCCACACGTGATAATAGCAGGGCTGGACACTAGTGAGTTCAGTAATAATCAATCCCATCGACTAGTTTCGTCGCTGTTTACTTTATCGAGGCAAGAGTAATGCTGCTCACCTGAATGCGGTTCTAATTGACTCTCCTGTATTGTACTACTACCTGTATTTATACCTTTAAGTTCTGATTGGTTGAAATTTATACCATTCCTTCAAGTTAAGTTCTGATTGGCTGAACTTTTATACCTTTCCTTTAAATTAAGTTTTGATTGGCTGAACTTTTTTATAAATTAATTATCGATTTACACATTTTTACACAATTATTAATCTATTCGTATCGTATCAGTGTTGTATTAAACGTCACGGCGAGATGTATAGTAATTACCTTTAAGCCTAATTGGATCATTTAGGATGGTAATTAAAAGGTAGATCATCTTTAAACGTAATTAACATAAAATTTCCTTAAAGACTTAGCAGTATTTAGTGATTAACTCAATGGAAGAATGGAATTTTTTCATAATCAATAAGGAATCCCCAAGTTAACGTACTCAAGGGGTTAAATCATCGTACTCACGGGGTTAGGTCATCGTACTCAAGAGGTCAAGTCATCGTACTCAAGGGGTTAGGTCATCGTACTCAAGGGATTAAGTGATAGTACTCAAGGGGTTAAGTCATCGTACTCAGGGGCTCAAGTCATCGTACTCAGGGGCTCAAGTCATCGTACTCAGGGGCTCAAGTCATCGTAATCAAAGGCTCAAATCACCGTACTCAAATGATCAAGTAACTGTAACGAAAGGATTAATTCACTGTACTCAAATAGTTAAACTGTACTCTTAAGTAGTTAAACATATCCTCCTTACTTGGCCAATCCCACGAACTCAAGAGGGTTGGCATCGTACTCAAGAGGTGAATAAACCTTACTGGGCTAATTCACAGGTACTCAACGAGGAGCTTAATCTGATTTAAAGCCGATGATACGACACAAGGAAGCCTCAACTCTCCAAGACCGAGGTCCTTAAATGTTCCAAAGTTATTTATTTTTTACCTTACGACTTAGAATCAAACAATAACAACTTAAGTTCTTTTATCACTCAGTTGTGGGATGGGGAGGGGTTGGGAAGGGTGGAAGAGGGAGGGGTTGGGAAGGGTGGAAGAGGGAGAGGTTGTATGGGAGAGGGAGGAGGGGCAAGAATCTTGGAGACAATGAGAGAGAGAGAGAGAGAGAGAGAGAGAGAGAGAGAGAGAGAGAGAGAGAGAGAGAGTTTTAATCAACATTTTTTACGACCACAACAGCTGCCAGAATGTACTGTCCCTGGCCATCTGCCACACTATCTGTCAACTATCTCCTGTCTGCCGTCTGCCACACTGTCAACTGTCTCCTGCCTGCCACCAACCACTGCCACACTATCTGTTAACTGCCCCATGTTTGGCCATCTACCACACTATATCTGTCTCCTGTCTGCCATCTACCACCCTATCTGTCAACTGTCTACTGTCTGCCAAACTGTCTGCCAATTGTCTCTGACGATAACAATTATATCCATGGACACGAGCAAGTGACACTACGGCTGGGAGAGGAGGTAAGTTGACACCATCGTAAATACAAACATAAACCCAGAAATTAATTGTAAGTCAGTATTTAATTTTATCATGTGCTTGGGGAATCATACATACATACATACATACACACACACACACACACACACACATAAAGCACACACACACATGCAAAGCACACACACACATGCAAAGCACATACACACACACACACGCACACACAAACACACACAAAGCACTTATGAAAAGATGAGAGACGCTTTATTCACGTCCGCTGCTCAATTACTGTTTCCCGCCAAAAATATCAGCTGATATTTTGCGCGGGAAGATGAGGTGATATATTTAGCGGCAAAATTTCAGGGGAGAGATACGAGTTCGTTTACCCTGAAGCCTCACAAGTGCCCGGCTGCACGGTTATAACACACTGCTGGGCAAACTAGCCACTGTACTGCTCCTCAAGCCTGAAACAACCTCACAATGTTTACAACTATGACGTCACTGACCTCACTGACGTCACCAGTTAGTATTCAACCAATCCTAAACAAAACACACATAAATGATCAGTTTTTTTTATTAGAGAATAACTAGTATTAAAAAATCAATTCATCATTATCGAAATAACAGCTACACAAGTCATTACACCAAGCACCCAGCCAGTGACTATTTTTTCCCGGGCGTCACTCAGGAATATGATTGGCTGAGCTTATAACCTCGAGAGTTTATTGACGAGGTCTGTTGTTACTTCCAAGAACTTAAATTAATACGGAACAACGTGTGTGTGTGTGTTTTGTGTATGTATGTGTATGTATGTATGTATGTGTGTGTGTGTGTGTGTGTGTGTGTGTGTGTGTGTGTCTTGTGTATGTGTGTGTTTTGTGTGTGTGTGTGTGTGTTTATTTTCAAGTTATCCTACACAATATATCCACCTTGGTCGTGTACAGACAAGAGCCGTGTTGTTATCGCTATACAGTAACAGCTTGGCAGTATCCAGGACCCAGTCTGTCTGCGCGTTAAAAAACCTATCAAGGTATGTGTATCCATGATCACACATTCCCGTGTGTGTGAGTCAACAAACGTCACAGGTGCTCACATGCGTCATGAATAATACACGTCCAGCTACTGTGTGCAAACGCATATGTTTATCGTCTATGTGCGTCTATGTGCGGGTTGGTGTACACACGTCGTAGGCACACAGAATATTCACCACACGTGCAGTTCATACGTTTATGTACGTGTTGGTGTACATAAGTTAACAGCACACACTACAGAAACGCACATAAAGTTTGTGAACGCATCTTTTTGCACGTATAGCAGCGCACACGTTTACACCG